TGGTAATTTCCCAAAACAGAAATTTCATCCTACTGGACTCAGGAGATAACAGACAAATTAGGCTTTACTTTGCTATTAAAAATTGTGAAACAAGTTACAAAACCTCTAGAGAACAACAGCAACAACAACAAAAAAAACCAACAACTCTCCTGGTCAGTTGCCTCGTCAGCACTGTAGGTAGCACATCAGCCTCATAATGTGAGAACCTGGAGGTCAGTCCTCAGAGACAGTGTAGCATTTGCAGGAAGAAAAAAACTGCAGAGGAAGTAACACAATGTGATCATTATTATTATTGCTATTAGAGTCAGACAGGAAATATCTGCTTTAAGCACTTGCCACCTCTTAACTTTGGTCAAGCCACGTAACTATAGATGAAAGCTTTTCCTGTCTGTAGGGAAGCCCACTTGGATTGTGAATCCACAGTTTTGTTTTGTTTTGTTTTATGATGTGTCAATGAAAATAATCAATAAACATTCTATAATGTGAATAGAAAACAGTTTTGAGTCAAACTGAGGACTATAACCCAGAAGATAGCCTCTCAGATAACTCTGAGGAACTGCTCTGGAGAAGCATGGTTTTCAGCACAGCCTTGTCTTGTCAGAATAAAGAACATCAGACAAGTCAGGGAGACACTCCTTCAAATTTTCAAAAAAAAAAAAAAAAAAAAAGATCAGCACGTACACAGGGAGTCAGTCTGGCTTTGGCACCTGGGAAGGGAGTGTTATCCTTGAAGGAGTGCCAGCATTGGTGTCCCAGGAAGGGAGACATTTAATCTCTATTTTTAACATGAACATTCTTTACTCCTAGTCAATGTACCCTTGTCTTTAATAATTAAGGCAGATGTTCAATATATGTTTGATAGGCCACTAACAGGCTGTACTAGTTAGCATAAAATTCAGGTTAACTCATGTACAAGCCAGAATGACTTCCCCATACCTCAATATGTGAACATTTTTTTTATCAGATGTTCAGAGCTTTTTCAAAAGAAAAGAAACTTCCTCTAATTAAACATGACAGGGCTACTGTCCCTCATAACCTTTTAAAAATAAGTGATGAAAAGGGAGTCATAAAATTGAATATTAGTTTCAAAATGATTCCCACCTGGTCTGAGAGAGGGTTCAATCCCCAGCACCTCTAATAAAAATAAATGAATAAATAAACCGAATTACCTCCCCCCAAAATAAAATAAAAACATAATAATAAAAATAAGGTACAAGGATATATCGTACAGCTGGAACTTTATAATAACTATAAATGGAGTATAATCTTTAAAAATTGTGAATCACTATGTTGTACATCCAAGATTTATGCAATAAGTAATAAAAAAATTACTAATATTTGCATGTACAAGGGAACTTTCAATTTGCCAGGCACTGTGTTAAGCACTCTTGCAGGGTTCTTTAACTTGGGGACCACTGAACTTGGATGGGAAAAAAAAATTTACAACTTTAAAATCTTTAACTTCTAACTGAAATTTAGCGTGAATGTAGGTGACAAATTACAGTCAGATGATAAGTACCTGTGGCTTTGTCACTAAGAAAAATCACAGACATTTTCTTATCCCATACTTCAGATATGAAATTCGTTACAAATATCTCAAATTTAATTATTTCGAAGTTGCAATAATCACAAGACGAGTCTTAATGTTTAATATTTAATACATTAATGAAGAAACACACATATTACTATCTTGCAAATTATTTTGTCTGATCATTGTTTTTTAATATCATTGGCTATCTTTGTTATCCTATGTATTTTTATATGCTTTTAAAAATATAATTCGAGAAGGGCTCCATGGGCTTCATTAGGAGGCCACAGGGCTCCTAGGCACCTAAAAGGTTAAGAAGTCCGGCACCCACTGTGACCCTCTCCCCGTAGGCAATCCCCTTGGCCTTGAATTCACCGAGGGGAACTTGGGGGTTGGTCCAGCACTAGAAGCCCAAGCAAGGTCTGCGAGGGGGTTCTCAGGAGCGATACAGGAAAAGAACTTCACGGTCCCAGCCTCCCTTACCCGCCTGGGGAATTGGGACGCCCTCCAGTCCGCAACCGCGAGAAGCAACACGAAGCAGCGCGACCTCCGGGTGGCCCAGAAGGGATCGGAAACGCGTCCTGGGCGCCCGGGTGGCCGCAGGGGCGGGGCGTCAGGTGTCACGTCTGATCGCGTCCGCGGGCAATTCAAGGACGGCATTTGGAGGTCATCTTTATGACCCTGGGCGGAAGGAGTGGCAGCGTGATGGAAAGGAACAATGTACATTTTACAAGGATCTCTGTGACCACTGTTGAGAATAGTACCAAAAAGCAGAGAATAGTCAAGGACAGATACAGGAAAATAAGTTTTCCTCCCTCTTTTTTCCAAGTCTTCCAGGATCGGTGCCTGTTTTGAGGGTCAGAAAATTGACTATTGAAAACTCTGGATCACACAGGCTGTTTCATGAATTTACAGATAGGAATATAAATGCCAAATGGTTCAGAAGAGTGGGCAAGAGAGCTTTAAAGACTAATTTATCATTTCCTCATTTGTTCTCCACTTCAGAAATATTTGAGCAGTTAACATCTGTACAGAAACAATATCCCTTTTAGCTTAATGTTGCTAGAAATATACTAAAATTCTAAATTCCACATGACCACTTTCCCCCTGGACTTTACTGTCTGCATTACTAATCTTCTTCATTGGAAATTACAACTGTTTAGCTTGAAGAATATTATTACTTACTTTTGATTGTTTCCTAATGGTATCTTGGGAAATTCCTTAATCTACTCAGAAATACCAATCCAAAAATTTTTGGATAGATTACATTTGAGGTTATACCAGTGATTTTTCAACAATGAGGAGACTTCTAGTCCCTGGAGTTATAGAGCAGGGTCTTAATCTGGATTTTACTCACCATATGATCTCGGGGAAAATTATTTAATCTGTTTCACTAAATGTAAAAATGGGGATAGTAATAATGATTCAACTCATAGGGTCATGGAAATAAAATCATACATCTAAATCAGTGGGCAGACAGTGAGAAATAACTTATTATTGTCAAAACCCTAATGTAATTTGGTTATGCATTTAAATTTTTTTGATTCAACAGATATTTTATGGAACATTTACAGACCGTATTATCTTAACGTTTTTGCAAATGTTATTACTCTTACTAGAAGACTTTTAACCACTCCTTGGTCAACTTCTATGCTTTCATTTTCTTGCTTAGGTGTCAAAATGATGCAAGAAAACACGGTGGGTTTTGAGAGGATGGTCGTGTCCCAGGTCTCCATTGAGTGAGGGTTCTTGGCTTTGGGTGAGAAAGAATTCAAGGGCAAGCCATAGCTGTGTAAAAGTGGCTTCATTTCGAAAGATGCACACTCCATAGACAGTGCAGACTGTCTAGGAAGGTGAGGGAGCAAGAGGGGTGTTGAGGCGGGGTGTTGATAGTTTTTATATACTAACAAGTGAGAGGATTATTCCAACTACTTTGGGGAAGGGGCGGGGATTCCCAGGAATTGGGCCATCACCCTCTCTTTGACCTTTTATGGTCAGCCTCGGAAGTGTCATGGCACCTGCGGGTGTGTCCTTCACCGTGCTAATACACTACAGTGTGTATATAGAAGCTCAAGGTCCAATGGAGGTTGACTCTCCCACCATCTTGGGCCTCGAGGTCTACTGGGAGCTGAATCTTCAGCTATCTTGGTGCTAACTGGTTGTGTCATTCCTTTAATGGCTGTGTCCTGTCCCCTTCCTTCTTGTCTCAAAAATCCCTCAGAAATTTCTTCCTAATACCCCTTCCTGCTCTGGCAACAGGGCCAGGGCCTCCTGCAGTATTATCACATCACCACCAAGCACACAGTGGTGACTATCTTGCATTTGACTTTGGACACACTGGACAACAGGGAATGCTTATTTTTGAATGTTCAGTTGTTTGGCAAAGAGAAAGCACAGACAAATGTTTGTAGTTTACCAAATAAAATGGGTGGAACTAGTTGAGCAGAGGAAGAACAGTCATACAGCATGATAAAATAGAATTTCCAGCAATTCAGTTGTGATGGCCATCTAACAGGTCTTCCTCCTTCAACTTTTCCCTCCCTTACAGCCTGTTGCCCATGTGTCAGCCGTATACACACACACACTCCCCAACAACTTAGATTATGTGGTTTCTCTATTCAAAACTTTAATGGCATCCCATCATTTTCAGAGAAAAATGGCAGCTTAAAGAGTTCCATTTTCTGGTCCCTGGCTATCTCTGAAATCATACTATCACTCTTACCCATCCTCACTCCTATTCAGACATTTCTGCCCCCTTGTTCTTCCTCAGCATGCCAAACACATTTCATCTCATCTCTATATTTGCTGTTCACTCTGCTGGAATACTTTCCCCTCATAGTCATATCTCTTTTTCCTACATTAAGTGCTCTGCTCAAATGTCATATCATCAGAGAGGACTTCTCTAACCGCCTATCTAAATAGCACCCACTTACAATTGTTTATTTAAAGCACCTTGTCACATAAAATTTGTGCATTTTCTACACCCCGCCCCTCACTAGAATATAAGCCTGATGAAAGCAGAGACTTTTTGTTCACTGCTGTACCCCTAGCACTTGGACAATGCCTAGAACTACAAAAAGGAAAAGAAGGTATAATGATTGTGAAGAAACAAAATTGTCTGCATATATAGAATCTATAGTCATCTACTGAGAAAGTCCAAAAGAAGACACAGACATATTATAAGAATTAGTAAATGTTTAGCAAGATTGCTGGGTATAATACTCAACTTTAGCTGAAAAAAGTAAATGTAGTAACTAAAAATACACAATATAAAGTAGCATCGAAAAGTGGACAGTGCCTAGAAAAGATTAACCAAAGAAAACATTTATGGAGAAAATTATAAAACTTTATTGAAAGACATTTAAAAAGCCTACACAGAGAGTTACACCATGTTCATGGATTGGAAGACTCAATATTGTAATTAATGTATAAATTCAATACAAATCCAATAAAAATTCCCACTTTCGTTTTGTTTTGTTTTGTTTGTTTGTTTGATTTGGAACCTGTCAATCTAATTTTAGAAGTTGTATGGAAAAGCAATTGGCTAAGAATAGCCAAGATACTCCAAGGGAGAAAAGTTTGGTAGTGATGTTGAAGGTGGAGGGGGGATTTATCCTGAGTTACCAAGACCTTTTTCTAAAGTTGTAGTACTCAGGATTGTATAGTATTATCACAAGGTTAAGACAAACTGACCAGTGAGTCAGAAAAGAAGCCATCGACAGACGCCCCCTTCCCCAACCCCACACTACAGAAACTTGATTTATGAAACAGCCAGTGTTACAGATCAGTGGGGAGAGGATGATCTGTTCAGAAAATGGTACTGGGACAACCACTTACTATATGGAAAACACATTATACTGGATTACCATCTCATATTTTCACAAAAATCAGTTCAGGGAAGACTAAAGACAAATGTGAAAAGCAAAACTCTTTTAACACTTTTACAAGGCAGTGAAGAATATCTTTATGACTTTGGGTAGGAAATGATCTCCTCCTCTACCATGAAGCCAAATTGTATCCAGCTTTATAAGATACTTTTCAAAAATAGTTACTTCCAGCAGGACATGGGTGACAATCCATAACCTTTTACAACTTTCAAACTCCTCTGCCCCCAAAGTCAACAAAGTCTGTTGCTGCATTGATCAGGAAGAGTTTTCAGGAAGGGTAAATATATTTCACATGAGGCGTTGAAGAGCTTTTCACTTATCTTAGCCAGAAGGCTGAGAAGCGATTATAAGAGGTTTTTCACAGGTTAACTCTGACATGGAGGAAAGGAACTAAAAACTCCAGGATTATTAATGAGATGATCCACAAACTACAAACAGAATCCCAGCTCTTTTGAGCAACACCATCTTGATGTCACCACCAGAAAGCCTGAGTTTTGATACCTGACACAGCTGATTCTAGGGGGGCCAAGGCCGCATCACGAGTCTTGGTTTCAGGAAGTCAAGTATATGCTGATGGCATCAGGAATGGAGAAGACACGAAGTTTTGCTTCCCCGTGCTTGTAAGGCTTCTGAGCCATAGTGGCTGCCATGTGTGACTGTCAAAGAATCTCTCCTGGGAACCAAGAATAATCTTCCAATACAAGGATAGAAAATTCTATTTCCCCTCACTCAATCCAGCTTCTGAGACATTCTACTAGTGGTTACTCGCCCTTTCCATGAAAGACGACAACAAAGTGTCTTGTGTGCTAACAATATAACTTAAAAAAAAAAAAACTCTACATTTTTATAAAATTTGATTTAAAAAAAAATAGTATTTCAAACAGTAGAGTCGCTAGAAGTACAGAGCTATCAAAAAAGTATACCCTTCACTTGGCGTCCCCGGCGCCTTCTGCTTTCTGTGACTGGACTGTGGAGGCATCTCGGTTTTTGGCAGGGTTGTTACCATCCTTGCCACCTTCTGCTTTCCCTTTTTTCCCTTTGGGAGGCTTCTCTCCCTTCTTTGCAGGGGCCTTTTTTGGCCTGGGCTCTGGTTTTGGAGGGGCAGGTTTAGCAGACAACCGTGCCGATCTCCTCTGTGGCTCATCCTTCACCTTCGCTTTGTCACCTTTAGCATCTCCTTTTGCCTTTCTCTTGGGCATGGTGGCCACAGTGTTTAGTAGATGGCTTTGCCGGCCCAAGGGGTTCTTTTGTCTTCCTCGCTGTTCCTAGAAAGATTTCTTTAACAAGACACAAAAAGTGTAAACCACGAAGGAAAAGACTGACAAATTCAGTTACATTAAAATTCAAATTTGACTGTATTAAAATTAGTAACTTGTGTATAGCAAAAAGATAGCATAAAAAGGTAAAAAGATAAGTTCCAAGCAGGGGAAAGATAGTCATAATACATATGAATGACAAAGGATCAGAGTCCAGAATGTATAAAGAATCCCTACAAATCCATGAGAAAAGGACAAAATGAAAATTTTAAAGCAATGGGCAAAAGTGTTAACAAGCATTTATTAGAAAAAGCATGAATCAATAATCAAAAAAAAAGTCAACTTTATTAATATGGGAAATGAGTACGAAAACCACAGAATATAACATTTCACATCCATCACATTGGTGAAAACTAAGTTGTCTGACAATACCAAGGGCTCAGCAGATGTGGAACAATTAAAACATATATGACTAGGGTGTGTGTTTATGTGGGCATAAATTAGTATGTGACATTATCTAAAGCATTTTTACTTCTAGGTGTTTACCTAGAGGAATTCTTGAAGGTGTGCACAGGAGACCCCTACAAGAATGTTTGTAGCAACCCTGTAATTTCAAAACCCTGGAAACCACCCAAAATTCTTTAACTATTTAAGAACGTATAAACACATTTTGGCAAAGTCTACGCAAAGGAATACTAGTCAGCAACAGAAATGAATAGATTACAGCTACATGCAAAAATATGGACTAATCTCAAGAACATAATCTTGAGCAAAAAAAAGCAAGCTGCAAAATATGTACAGTAGGGCTCCATTTCTACGTGTAAAACTAAATGACTTGTTTAGGCTATAGGTATGTACTAAAACTAAAAACAGCAAGGGATAAATATAAAAATCAGGACAACAGTCACCTCAGAGGGAAAGAGCCGGTAGTTGGAGAGGGGATGGGAGATGGTCCAGAGAGAAAGGGAAGGGGATTTCCTCCCCAAACTGGGGAGTGGGGGTGGGTGGGGCCGACACATGGATAATACTCCATTATTCTCTGTATTTTGCAGAGTAATTCTATGGGTCTGCTCAAGAATAAAAACCACTGGGTAGCCCAGAGCACAGATTCACGGCCACAAAGAATAGAAAGTAATCTATTTTGAATTTGGGTAGTTAGGACCCTGGCCCATTCACAAATACTGTGGGACTTTTTAAAACCTGAGGCCAAAACTAGCCACTACACCTCTGCCCTACTCTTGAAAATGTTTCCTGGGGAATTCTGTAACCCAGTGGCCTGCCCTACTCCACAATGTTTTATTTTAAGCAAAAAAAAAAAAAAAAAAATTAATCTTTCTCTCAGTTACTCCAGTTTTGTTTTGTGTTTTTGCTGGACATCATTGTCTAGATATAGTGGGCAAACATGACCTTTGAGCAAACTTAGATTTTTATGTTCCTTGGCTAAAAAAGGCAACCACCTGTAAACAGTGCTAAAATATTAATTAATATATTTGTTCCCCATTTTTTTCATGATGACTAGATTTCTGGAAACTTTGCAGTTTTTCTTCCTTCTTGTGGAACAGAGGGAGAAATGAGACTTAGTATAAAGAAGAGGGAAGAACCAAAGTAGGATTGTGCCTTGAATCAGTCACTATTTCCCTTGGTACATTGTAAGGAACTTTGGGAACAGAGGTTACAATTGAGAGAAGAAACAGTTCTAGTCTGAGGTTGAAAAGCTTGCTCCCGAGGACATCCTTCCCTAGACATTACATGAATTTATGCCTAATTTACTCTCTCAAATGCACCGCTAAAGAAATGTTTGGGCAATTCTTAGAGAACAAAAGTTTTTTTTTTTAAATCCAAAATCAAACATAATAAAGAAAAAAAATATTTAAAGAAAATAATTGAGAAGTATGCCAGAGATTGCATAAGTCAACTTTGGGGATGGTGATGGTGTGCGACAAAGGCAAAGACGGCTGTTCTTACAGTGAAGAAGCCAATATTGAGAGACAGTTTATGGCATGAAAAAATCACTTCGTCTAATATTAGGTTGACTTGGTTTGCACCTGTTGCTCTAGTATAATCATTAATAATGCTCCCTTTCACTCTCAGAAGTGTGCCAACTTGGACAATAAATAACGAGATCACCCTAAATATTCTGCATATATTCTTAGAGGTCTTTTTGTTACTAGAGAATGAGACAGGAAACCAAAGGGTGAGCTTTTGTTCTAGGACACACCTCCTTAAACAATGGATGGCATACTACAAATCTACACCATTCTCCTTACATCTCACTCCAAAATAGTGTTTCTTAGCCCGCGTCCTGTTGTGGGAATGCTTACAGTCTGTTTCCTAGGTTCAGTCTTCAAGTTTAATCCGCTGAAGGCCATCCCAAAGGCAGAGGGACCATGATCACATGTCAAATGCCAAAATACAGCAGGTGGCAATAAAGATAAATTCAAGGAAAACAGGACACTAGCTGGATTTTGTATCTCAGTTTATGCATATGGATTACTTCCCTGAAACTCACATTTAGGAAGCTTATCAGGAGACCAGGAGGCTGACCTTACAAATATAGGAGACAGATACACAAATAAAAGGAGTAAAAGGTCGTATCATTTTCATGAATGACAAAGAGGCTGGGGAGGGAGAGGGTCTCACCACAGAGTGGTGCTAATTTAAAAGAAATTATCTGAGATGGAGTACAGGGAATTTTTTTAGGGCAATGAAACTATTTTGTAAACTATCAACTGTAATGGTGGATACCGCCTCAAGGCAATATTCAGAATCCACAGTTGGTCCATTCCTTAACTTTGGGATCTATTTTTCTTTTTGATGGGGAGAGCAGAGGCCAAAGTGGAGGAAGCCTCAGCCCTTCGGTGTTCCTTCAGAAGAGGGTTCTCGAAGATGAGGCCTTGTAAGCTGGGGAGGGGAGGGAAGAGCCCAGGCCAGGGCAGCCCAACCCACCGCCACGACCTCTTCCAGGCCACAGCCCTGAGGGCCCAGTGCTTTCAAATACCCTCCTCGCCTTTCTTTTTTTCTGTCCTAGATTCTCCGTGGGGAATCTGCAGCCCAGAAGGGCCTTTGATCTCTGTGACCCCCAACTCCCGGATTCCGCCTTTCCCAGATATTCGCACTCGAAACCCAGGAGAGCTACGCAGCTATTCTGGAGAGTGGAAGGCAAGGCCTTCGGGGGCCGAGGTCACCTAATCACGACGAGGGCCAGACTGCAGGAGGGGTGCAAGTCTATGGACGGTGGCGGGACGACCCCCATTTTCCGGAGACGCACGCCTAGGCCCCCCAGGTACTCACCGGAGTCTCACGGCCGTCCGAGAGGCACGGGGCTCCCAGCTCTGGGCCTGCAGCGCAGGTGCCCTCGGCTGGGACAGGGCCGGCGCGGACTGCGAGATAGTGAGGAGACGACCGGAGCCCAGCACTGCGGGGAACAGGAAGGCAAACCAAGGCGAGGATGCGCTTCCGGGGCTGCGGGCGTCGGGCCGCCCCGCGTCGGAGCCGGGGACAGTTGGGTTCTCCCCTCGCGATACGTGCGTCCGCTTCCGAGGCCATCGGACCCACCTTGAGCAGCGTCGCCTCAGCACCACCGCCCGGGGAAAGCGAGACAAGAAAAGGGGAACGTATTTATGAAGGCGTGAAAAAATTTTTAAATAAATATAATTTCAAGGAATTGCATTAATAAGGGAAAAAGGGAAAACTGTTTCCGCCCGGTTTCGAACCGGGGACCTTTCGCGTGTGAGGCGAACGTGATAACCACTACACTACGGAAACCCGATGAGAAAGGTTCGTCTCAGCGGAACGATTCTCTCTACAGAACACGCCCCTTCTCCTCAGCCATTCTTCCCTCAATGCCCCGCGACTGGCGCAATGCCTGCAAATACGCGTGGTTAATACACCCGTGCTACTGTGTACCACTCTCCCAAACCAGAGAAGCCAATTAGATGAGTAGACCAAACCTCTGCAGCGTACAGATTTGAAGCCAAATTCTTAATAATTTATTCTGGAAATGACCGGATGAGGGAGGGCAAAAGAAAGACTTTAATTTTTATGAATGACGCTTCAGTCTTACTTTTCAATCTCGACTTCTTGATTTTAACCCATCCTTCAGTTGGAATAGACTGGAGAAGCGGAACGTGACACGGGAGCACACTTCTGTGGCTGCACTTTGGCTAGCGCCACCGCATGGCCGAACGCGGAATTTGCACCGCAAAGGAGTGATGACCCCAGCAGTGGTCGAAAGCGGCGCCTTCTCGCTCCTGAGACGTCCAAGCAAACCTCACCTTGCACAAATTTTCTAATTCCATTGAGTTCCTTGGCTATCGGCAGACGAAAGAAATAAAACAGCAGTGCGCATACCGAGCCAGCCAGGAGTCGAACCTGGAATCTTCTGATCCGTAGTCAGACGCGTTATCCATTGCGCCACTGGCCCTGCACGTGGGTGGCTAGCAGGCTGACATCTCTTCATCAGAAACCAGGCGGTGGCACTGGTCCGCTCGGTGGGGTCTGTGCCTGGGCCTGAAAGCCACTTTCTCCTGGCCTGGCCCAGACACGCAGCGCGCGGTCTCCCAGGAGGCCCCTTCTGCATGCGTCCTGGTGTCTGTGCTCCTTTCTCTGTCTGTACCCACCGAAAATGGCGGTGGGAGGCAAGCCCGGCGCCCTTTCTGCCCCAATATGCTCCCTCCGTTCATATATTCATTCATTCAACCAGTATGACCGTTTAAGACACCGGAAATACACTCTTGAAGAAAATAGGGGTGATCCTTGCCCTCAAGAAGATTGTCTGGACGTAGCGAAGACAGTAATAAAGCATTAAATAAATAAAATAATGTTGATAAGTACTTAGAGAAGCAAAAAACGGGAAAGAGAATAGGAAAGCCGCTCACGAAAGGTGATGAATGACAGATAAATGCGATAGTCAGGGGAAAGAGCGATCTAGAACAGGGGAATTCTCCAGGGCAAAGGCCTGGAGGTGGGAGCATGGTTGGGACATTCCAGCTGTGTCGAGGAGGCCAGTGCTCCTCGAGAAGAGTAGGAGACCTCGGGGAGTTGACCTCTGGCTTTCTACTCCCTTGTAAGGACTTTGGCTGTTACTCTGTAGGAAACTGGAAGCCGTTGTAAGGCGGCACTATATCTGACATTCTTTCTTGTCTCTCCTTGGGTAGCTGAAAATACTTTATTTCTAATATCTACTTAAGCAATACTCTGTGCTAAGCACCCTCACGGCATGCTGCTCATACCTCAGGACCTACATTTCAGAATTTGACACCTTTAAAAGAAGCGTCGTTAGCTGGCACACACAGGAATGTTCACTTGGTTGCTTTCTCAGGAAGTAAATCAGCGTCTCTAACGTATGCCTTTCAGCCTCTCTGTATTTCTGAGAAGGAATCATTATCTTCATACCTGATGAACATTGTAAATAAGTTTAGGGCTACTAAATGGAGTAAAACTGCCTGACGTTGAGAATATATACATGGTAACTAGAAAATCTTTGTTTTCAGTTCGTAAGGTTGCAACAGCCTTTAAGAAAAATATACATGCTCCCGTTTCTGCATACACGTTAAGGTAGATCTAGTTAGGGATTTTTCCCTAGATAATTAACAAGGTCTTCTGACCAGATTTTGTATAATGTACCCTTAGGGCACTTTGGTAGTTATGGACTCCATCGCAGAGTAATATTTACAAAGAAAAAAGAGAATACATACGATTTCAAGGGGAAATCAACTATATTGAGCTGTATTAGCAAAATATTAAAAATTTATGGTATAGTAATATTTGTGCTCCTTTATTAATGCACTAAATGACAATATCCAGCAGGAGGTCTAATAAATACTGTAATTTCAAAGCAGTAATGAGCATAAATAATATTTTAAGAAACTTGCATCAATGGTAATTTGATGTGAAAATATTTGTGATTGCCAATAGGGATAAAGTGAAAACGGCTGAAATATAACTGATTTGTTGCCTAAATTCATAATGAAAGAAAATACAAAATTTCAGTAACAGGTTAGTCAAAATAAACATTTGTTTCCCATCCAAGGTCACAGATTACCCCTTCCCCATTAGAAGAAAGGGATTGCTGTTCCAAAGAGAAGCTTGGAAACATGAACAACTGTGTCTGAATTTTCAGAAATGAAACTATGTGATCAGGCCACCCAAGATGGATGTTCTCCTGCTCTCTGTACATCCGCTGCTTGACCAGTCCCTGCTTCACCTACACCCTCCTCACATGACTGATCTTCCTTCAATCATAGAGCCTAATCAGTAAATGCCTATGTGCTGTCTACAGGTCCCAGCTAGTGATGGTTCTTATCTTTTGTTCAGAACATCTCCACCTTGATAGCTTATCAAAGGGGTGGTTAGGGACATGCTTCTCTGTTGGTTTCCCTGGAGACCAATGAGCCATCCTGAGTCAAATCCCCCTAAAACTGGTAACCTCCCTCTTTCTCTGGGAGCGAAGACTACTGACACGTCCTGCCCACCCGCTGTCTGCTGCACATGCTGGGGTATCGCTACAGGACCTCCCTTCAGATGCGTAAGCTCCCCCTATTCATTAAACCACTGATGTCTCTGTTGCTGACTGCAGCTTTTTCTTAGGTCTTGAGACTGGGCAAGTACAGGGCTTGCAGACCTGTGGAGTGCAGCCCAACAGAAGCAAACTGGGGTACCTCTTGGTTCTATTTTATCTTCGTCACATAACCAGGATGGGAAGGCCAAATTCTAGGGCGTTCCTGAAGTCACAGTTCCCATCTTGCACCTCTAAAATGGTCTTCAACTCAGCTAGCTGGAGGCTATGTTCTCCTCAGAGTCTGCAAAGAACTCCCTTTGTTTTGCACATTTTGAAAGCTTTTCTTGGCTGCTTCAAATTTCTCTGCAGTGTTCACGACCTGATATGAGCCGAGGCATGCTTTCATTTTGTTTTTCAAGATCTTCCTACCGGATCTTTCTTGAGAGTTCTAGTTTCCAGCTTCCAGTCTTTTCTTAAGTGGTTGTTATCAGTCAGAAAAAGAGAAACAAGGAGTCCAGGGGGAAAAAAAAAAAAAAACAGAACCAGTAGGAAAATATACACATATTTCTAGGAATTGGCTTATGAAATTGTGGGGACTGGCAAGTCTGAAATCTGTAGTGCAGGCTGGCAGTCTAGAAATTCTCAGACAGGAGCAGATGCTACAGTTTTGAGACAGAATTTCTTCTTTCTCAGGAAAACCTGCATTTTGCTCTTAAAGCCTTTCAACTGGTTGGATGAAGCTCACTTACTGAGGATAATCTCTTTTGCTTTTAGTCAGCTAATTGTAGATGATAACCACATTTACAAAATATCTTCACAGCTACATCTAAATTAGTGTTTAATTAAATAACTGGGCTTATAGACTAGCCAAGTTGACATGTCAAAAAAGCCATCACTGTGGGACTCTCCTTTTCCTCTGGGTCTCAGTGCAATATTCTTCCAGTTTCCTTCCCAAGCATATGGAAAACCGCATAGTCTGCCATTTCCATGTTTCTTTACATTAATAATGCAATTTACATGTAATAATGCCTGTGACAGCAATCTGCACCTTCTCCAATTTTGGATGTGTGGAACAGAGACAATGTGAGGGGCATTTCCATGGTCCCTGCTGGCCACACTGTGAACTAAGCAGAATAAAGTGTTCACACCCAGATTTCTGGACATGATTGCTCTTAGTCTCATTTTTCTCTCAAGACTTGTCTCTGGCTTTTCAAACAACTCCTTTGTCTTCCCTGAATTTCTGTGCACATTTTGACAGCTGCCAGTCAAAGGAAAAATACAAACCAAACACTACTGGCTTTGCTGTCTTTCTGAACATCTACCACTGTTTGGTCAAAGCCATGCTAAGCGTGACTATGCTGTGTATGATTATCTCAGTTTCAAGCACATTAATAACACGATGGTTAATTGTATACTATTAAAGAAATCGGTGCTTATATCATGGGGTCACAATCAAACAGTATGTTGAAGTCATGGACTTTCAATTGGTTTACCAAAGTGAGAAATCTAGCAGTCATGAATCCCTACCCCCTATCATGTTTATAGGCAGAGATCAGTGCCAAGTGCTGGCTTACAGCGTGCCAGAGAAATCCTCCAGTATTGATATAGTTTAAAAATACTGAAATGTTGATTTCAGCATTTTCACCACGACAACAGATTTCAAGTAAGCAGCCAATCATAATTACAGGTTTTATTTGAGAAGTTCTTTTCACAGCTATGGCAACAATTTGTAAACTCTTCAGAGTTCCACTAAACCCCTTTGTTCAAATTAAATTCCCAAGGACAGTTTTATTTTACAAAAAACAGAATAAATCTGGAACAGTTACAAATACACCAGGCCCTATGAAAATTCTGAAATTCTTGTGATGCTCTCAGTTTGACAGCTTATCAAACAGATAAATAAGGACAAGTTTTCAGACCAGAAAGCTTCTCTTCCTCTAGCTGCAGAGGAGAGGGGACCTCTCCTTTATTTCTTTTCAAAAGTAGGTTTTAATGATGAAATCTTGAACTTTTTTAAGGTGCGACTCTGGAATTCGATTAGCTAACATTATAAGCAA